AGAGACTAAATATAACTATCAATAAAACATGTTAATATAAAAAATAAGAAGATGTGGTATGATTGCCAATTAGACAACTCTCCACAAGAGACCAAATGACAGAAATTATAACAGCTGTATGTCACCGTACGACCTTCGAAAACGAGTAAAACCCATACCGCAGAGTCAGCTCAGCTGTAAAAGGACCCGAAATGACAAATTTAAAACAATCCAAACGAGAAAACTAACGGCCTGATTTATGTACAAAATAATGAACGAATACCAAATATGATATACAGTAACATTTGACAACCACTGAATGACAGGCTCCTGCCTTGGGACAGGCTTTTGTACTCGAATACCTAGTCTGACTGTGCGGGTTTCTTTTTTGTTTTTAATGCATAATGGGTGTTTTTATAATGTAGTTATCAACTGCTTGTCAAACATCACGTACACGTTTTGTTTTTTTACATAATATACTTACTTTTTAAGCAATTGTGCTCTGAGGTAAAGTAGTTCACTATGTATTTATCAACATCGCTTCGATAAGCAGTAACGTCCTGAATCAATTGTTCGGTAGTTATAACCAGTGTAACTTTTTTTATTCTTTCAGGTCATTGAACTTTTGGACATTTGTTTTAAGTTTACCGTTAACACATTTTCCCCATAATCTTACCTGTATAATATTATTTGTCGAAATGCTCATCAACAATAAACTCTTTCTAATGGTTTTAATTATATCAAGTAAAAAAGGGGAATTATTCATTGTAAATAAAAAGGGATTACCTCATATATTTTATATTTGTTTCAGTGGCAATGACAGCCTGTGTGTTAAATGGAGGTACAAAACCTAGTGATTATGTCGTAAAGTTCGGTGATATTCGAACCCAAGTTGGTATAAACAACATAGCCTCATTTCGTACAAGTGGAAAGTTCATATGTGAAGTGGAAGGGACCTATATCGTCTCTACATGGATCGATAGTGCAACTAATTATGGCTTTTTTCATATATACAAAAATGAAATGATTACAGTCAGTACCGTTTTTAATTATATTTCCACTAGTGATACCATTGAAACAACAGGCACTGCCGTTGTCGTTGTAGAATTACAAATTGGTGATACCGTAAGGATTCAGACCGGTAAATCCATGAGTATTATAAATGGTAAACGTTCTTGTTTTACCATAGCTAAATTGAACTAGGCAATTAGTGTTAGTGACGAGATTGTGTCAAACACATATTCATGATAATTAAGAGTAGGAGTATTTTATCAAATAAAGGGCAAATGAAAACCAAAAACAATTACTGGAAAGAACGAATATGTAATCAATACTCTGAACAACAGTCACCAATTTTACAGTCTATGACAGTTATGTGCACACCATCACAAGTTGGTACACAGTAGTGAAGATATCACATATAACTCAATGCAATTTCCCTGGATTCAAATAAAAATATTCATATTGATGTTGTATATGTGGCTTCATTTGAAGGATGCCTTTTATTCAGTAAATCATTTTTTTTATTGCACAGTTAATAGTTTATAATGTTTTAAAAGTACGATATGAATAATAGGTGATGTGGGTATAAACATCAACAAGATAATCAGACAATCAAACCCGCTGCAATTGTTTGCACCTATCCTAAGTCAGGAATCTGATGTTCAGTAGTTGTCGTTTGTTGATGTGGTTCATAAGTGTTTTTTATATAGATTAGACCGTTGGTTTTCCTGTTTGAATGATTTTACACTAGTAATTTTTGGGGCCCTTTAAAGCATGCTGTGCGGTGTGAGCCAAGGCTCCATGTTGAAGACCGTACTTTGACCTATAATGGTTTACTTTTATAAATTGTGACTTGGATGGAGAGTTGTCTCATTGACACTCATACCACATCTTCTTATATCTACTAACACAATTTAAACAGAATTGGCAAAATATGGTATCGATGTATGCTATTCACTCTTCCTACAGTTTCCAAACGAGGACATCAGCTTTGTTTTTTTTCTGTATTTACATTCAATTCTTGAAAATTAAAATGTTGTCCCTCTTGCAAATTACACTTTCGGTACATGAAAAGCTTCCAATTTCTTGATAAACTTCCAGATACGACTTTCTGGCTTGTATTAGAACTTCGCCTTTTATAGCTAGACCTACTTGTCATCAACCGAGCAACTGCATTTCTTGTTGAATGAATAATTTGATTTTCCTAACCCCTTAAAGATGTAAATAACTATTCCGGATATTCGAGATCGCCCATTTTCTTTTTTTGAATTTGATACAAATTCAAATGTTTCATTAATTGGTTTTATTTGTTTTGTTTTTCGGGGATCTAAAATTTGGTATTGAAGTTTTTGTTGTGCTCATTGCATTTCATCGGGTTTAAATGTTTAAATATTTTTTAAGTCTATAAACATATCATTAATGAGATAAAACTATTGATATAACACCAATCCTGCAAACGCTTTCAACATGTTAAAGCTTATATTTGTTACTAGTATCAAACTGACTACTATAATCACTTTTTGTCTAGACGGTTGTTTCTAGCTTTAGAATTGCTGTAAGTTGGAAAGCCCTCCTCGACTGTCTGTTCGTTTGTCACTTACTGTTCCCATTAGGGTCCAGATGATTTTCGTCAGCCTAAACTCAAACTACAACTTTCACGAAAAAAAAATAGTATTTTTCTCCAAGCTGAAGCAGTACAATTGATACCATGATTGTGCCTTTTGCTGACTTGTTAACGTTGTTCCAAATTATCCAAATCACTCGGAACAAATATCTTGCCGTCGCAGAGGATAGACACCCGGAAATTCCTTTATTTAAATCGATATCGGGAATAAGTACTTAAAGCTACACAGCTGCGAGATACCCAAGTTTGATTTCTGAAGGCTAGATTTCAAGGAATGTCTTATTTCAAATTACCAAATTGAACCAATTCTGTAAGTCAATATGCAGATTATAACAAACGGCCTTTTAATGACTTCTGCAGACAGAAAAAAACTGATACATATGTAATGCCATTACAATAATATAACATTCATCAAATGCAAATGAACATTGATCTATCTAGCTATAGGAACACAAACCAATATATCTTCAATATAGTGGTAACGTTTTTAAACGTGCAAATATGTGCTTTATCTCAATGACCAGATATCTATTAAACAATAGAACTGTCCCATTTAGTTGTCTATCAAATCATTTAAATCAAACAAGATTAAAACAAGCAAGCAATAAACAAAATTATACTTATATGCAGATATTTATGTGAGCAGATAAAGATAATCCAGATTTAGTATTTTTTTTACAAATATGATTATCTATGACATTGTCAACTAGTATTTATTCCCCAGTCAATTGTAAAAATCTTCAGATGATTATCACGGATTTTAGTATTGTGAATGAATTTGCATGTATTTTTTGTTGTTGTTGGTTATTTTCATCAATTTCTTACTAATAAAATGAATACTAGTCCATAGGAACAATAATTAAAGCAACAGATTGTCTGACATGTCAATTTGAAACTAAATTTGGTACATCCAGAATTTTACTAGACACTCCACTGAGACGCTCCCCACCATATTCTGCAGTTTAACTTGTAAACACTTTACTCCTTCTATATCTTCTACAATGTAAATGGTTTGTAATGTGTTGTGGAATCAGAACAAACGTAAAAATGACCATGGTAGTGACTCTTACTGTGACAAAAAACCAATTAAGATCTCCTGGTCACACCAAGAAATTTATAGACGATTACCTAATACAAATATTTTACCACAACCTGCCTTGTTATAGAAAATCGAAAATCAAATGCGAGAGATTTATACAGAGACGTGCAAAAAGTATATCTGCCATTGTAGTTTTGTTGCAACAAGTAAAATAACAAGATGGGTAGAAAAGGTCAGGAACTGTCAACGGATGTCAAAAACATGATTGTGGAAATGGTTCAGAATGGGTTTTTTCGTCGGAAAATCGGTGACATACTTAAAATCCCCAAGTCAACAGTTATTGACAATGTTCGGAAGCTTTTAGACACAGGTTCTGTGGAAAATAAACCAAGAAGTGGCCGACCATTGTTTGTAAAACCACGCGACTACCGCAAGCTAGAACGCATTGTAAAGACAAGTCGGAGGAGTTCTTTGTGTGACACAAAAAACAAGTTTAACGAAGAAACATTGTGTTCCCATGTCTAAACGTACCGTTCAGCACCATTTACATAAACATGGGTATCACAGGCGTGTGCATAAGAAAAGAATCGTGATCAGGGAAGTCAATCGGAAAAAAAGACTTGCATGGTGCAGAGAAAAAAGGAGATGGACGGTTAACGACCACTGGAAGAAGGTTATTTTATCTGATGAGAGCAAACTTATGATTGGACATGATGAACGTGTTTACGTATGGCGAAAAAGAGTCGAGAGATGGAGGCCGGACCTTATTCAACCGCGGACATTTACAAACAAAATATCAAGTCATGATTTGGGGTTGTATTTGCTGGTATGGCGTTGGCACACTTGCTCCTTTAGAAGGCAATATTAATGCCGTTAAATACCAAGAAATACTTGATGAACATTTGTGGCCAGTGATACAGTAGCTCGGCATTTTCCGGGAGGTAATTATTTTTTCCAAGATGACAACGCCCCTGTCCATCGTGCACGGTCCACCCAAGAGTTTGTAGCTCGGCACGGAATTAACGGTATGAGCTGGCCTGCACAGTCGCCAGACTTGAATGTGATAGAAAACGTTTTGTTATATATAAAAAGAAAACTTCAAACACGTACTGGGATGATTAAATCTAAAAAATAAATTGTTCCAAGAAATCCACCGTATTTGGATCAATATTACGCCTGACTATATTCAGTGATTATATAAGTCGATTCCGAAAAGGATATTAAATGTAATCAAGCTCAAAGGACACCTAACAAAGTATTAAAGGTAAGTTTTTATTTTTGTTGTATTGCATTGGTTGATTTATTTACATCGCAAGCTTGAACTTTGCAACTTTCGTTTTCAAACGTAAACACGCCGCCATTGTGATGTAAGTACAATACTACTTAAAAATAAAGACTGATTACTAAAATGGCAGCTTTTATTTAGAACATGCATACTGTATTACACAATAAGTGACCCTATTCAAGGTTTGATTTCTTATCTTGACAATACCTATAGATCTACAATCAAAGTTCATGAAGACATTTGCATGTGTTCAAAATGGCATCTTTAACCGTATTGTTTTCGTTGTGGATCATTCAATTTAAACTGGTGAATACTGTGGACGAAGTTCATCACAAACGTCTCCTACTCAATGATCCAGATGTTCTAAATTCGAGGCTGGTAAATCTAGAGAAATCAATGCAGGACATGGTTCGCCTAACCCAACAACTACAGAATGTACAGTCAACTGTAGCCCAACTACAAGCGCAAAATACCAATATGCAGTCAACGATGGCTCAACTCGAAACCAAAAATACCAATATGCAGTCAACCATAACACATCTACAAACAGAGCTAACACAGGAAAAAGAAAAAGTGTCTTTGTTAAATGGTAAGATTATCGTCTTCTTGTTTTCGATTTAAATATTTTGTTAGAATTAAATAAATATGGCAAAGCAGCCATAAGACTTGTGTTGATGGTCAGTTTACTAGTCTCTTTTGAATTGGACGATATTATATGACTCATGACTATGTTTACCAAAAGTTAGTTCTACAGGGTACATAACAAATTTTATTTCACTGCAAATTGAAATCAGAATTACATGCTGCAACTTATATAAAGCATTATTTTTTAATGAAACACAAATAGATTATGCTAGAGAAATACTATTACACCACTGTCCGAGGTTACGGGAGGGTTGAGCATTCGTAAACATGTTACAACCACGTCACGTTATGCGCCTGTCACAAGGAACCTGTTATTTGGTGGTAGTCAACCGTGTGCCCGAGCGCCAATCTGTCAGATATAGAAACTACAATTCCGGCAATATCTAAAAAAAATGTAAATATTACGGTTTAACTCAGGTTTATAATTGCAATGTCTTCGGGCGAGTATAAAACTCACCGCTTATCAATAAGTTTTACAGAAGTTACGATCTTTGGAAATATTAATTCTAAAGAAAATTACATTATAAGCGCTCTCGAGCCTACTTTTCTATTCTGGTCTTTTTTTTTTAGATTTATATCAAAGTCTTATATCAGAATGTCTTTGACGCAAAAGATTTGTTTTGATTTTTAAAGGAATCATGTCCACTTAGAATGTAATTTTTTTATGGAAATTGCATTGTAAGCATTCTTATACCTACATTTCACGTAAGAATTCTATGAAACTTATATCGAATGTTTATAATATTATAAAGTTCAATAATATGGGCCGATCAACTATATATTTTTACAGGAGTAATGCCCCGTAGAAATAGAAATAGGAGGAAATTGTAATTTAAGCGATCTCATACCTACGTTTCTTGTTAGATATTCATTAAAAAGTTAAATATATATATATATATTGTTATTATATACAAACTCTTGCTCTTAGAGGTTAGGTTATAGTGAATTTGTTTTGATTATCCGTTCGTGCGTCCGTCCGTTTGAATTATTGTTCTTTCAACAAATGTTTCAGCAACACGTATCTCAGGTACTACACTTAAATGCGCCCAAGCTTAGCGAAAGGCTGTGCGACGTAATCAGTCAAACAAACTTTATTAGATCAACTCGCCAAGGAACGATCGTTCTCATTGGTCAATTCAAACCTTCGACCTCACATAAACTTTCAATCACCGCCGCCCAAGCACACCTGCGAAATTAGAACACGTGTACTTTATTAATGATCCAAAGTGGAATTGACTGATTACGTACAGAATTGTTTACTTGATTATCTCATGGTAATACTACATCTTTGTTGTACCTTAAATAAAGTGTATCATCGCATGTAAGATGAATTGATACCATAATTTTGTGCAACAGTTTTAATAAGGTCTTTTTATTTATTTTTTTGAAATTGTTATATACGAAGACTTAACGGTTATCACGACGAAATATTGAATCCAACTGTCTCCTCTCAAATAGTTCTTGATAATTATAACTCTTCGTGTTCCATCGCCAGTTTATCAAAGCCACCTCATCGATCCTAAAACTAGGCTCACTTAGACTTAACCTTTTTTGTAAATACGAAACTACATAGAAATAGAAAAAAAGGGAATTCTAATGACTAGTTATAGATGACAATTTATATTTACATCATTTCATGGCATCAGATCAACAGAAAAATGGCGGCAGGTAGTGGCGGACTTAAAATTGCTCTCCTTATTTTTGGTGTTTTTGCACGTTTACAGCCAGAGAAAACTTACCATTCAGATCTCAATGAGGTAAAAGCCGAAAACCTTTGCTTCTACGCCTGTTCACAAACTTCAAGGGAGAATGAATTAGACTTTGTCATCCAAATATTTTGTCCTAGCCAACTCGACTACTCACAACATGGCCGACCAGAAAAAATTTCACTTGAACATAGGAAGATCAAAAGTACATCTAAATTCTGTTTTATATTAACAATTTTACTATGTGGTGATATTCATGATCAATTGTGTATTTAGATTTTTTTTGTATTTGCACAAAACAACACGGGCACAAACATGTTATGCAAAGCTCTATACTTCCGATAGGTTCCTTTAAGTATGAAATCAAAAGACAAATGTGCATCCAATTAAAATCGAAATGGTACAATTATATTGTGCCTTATAAACAACGACATTACTCACAAATATTTTTTTTTTCTTCATTTTTTAGTTTTACACATGAGTGCAAAAGAAAAATCCTCGCCGATAATACATTTCAATCTTTTGTTTTACAAACAATAATGTTTCGACCCTACTATTTGAAAATCAGGCAACGACACAGCATTACAAAAACATTTACTTTTCACGTTAGTAGTAACGTAGTACATTCCATTGTCGGTCACCTGTGTCAATTCACGTGCACACTACGATTGTTGTTGTATTTAAATCTTTCGGCCAATGAAATGAGACGTTTCGAGTTGTTTGTTTGTGATACGCCAGAATGTTATCAATGAATTACCAAACGCTTAACTTGACTGCAGTTCAGTGTAAAGATGAGATAATGTATTGGACATCTACTCTCTGTTTGCCGATACGTTGAATTTCTCAAATGGAAACATGAAATTTTGTCACACATTTTTACTATACAGAATGATTTCATATTTGGCCAGCAGCTTTGGAGTGATTACATTGTAGTAAAGTTTGAGTGCTCTTATGATCTGTCAGACACCTATTTCCTTGTTTCCATTACTTTGAATTATGAGTGAGGCATGCTTAGCACGACAACGCATGAATATTTGTTGGAATCATATTTCTTGAACACATAAAAAAAATATGCATCGGCAGGGACATTGGAAACGCTGTTTTTTTTATTTTTTTTAGTATACATCAGGTCGTTGGTATTCTCTTGTGGCTTGTTTCACAATTTGTCAACCCGGGGCTATTCACAAATTACTAAACAGAATGAGGGTATGTCATAGTTGAAGGCCGTATTGTATATTAGGGATTTCGAATTGCCATTTTATAGGGCTAGTTAAAAAATGCATTCAACACTCAAAATTGACGAAGAGGTGAATCTGATGGCATAATTGATTGAATATGAACAAAAATTGAATATTCCCTCGCAAATTTAAAAACACAAAAAGGGAGGGACACTTTTTTCAACCCACAATATTTTATCATTAAATTTTAGTTTTCTTTTTTAATCAATTAAACATCCTTTAAAACAAGAATGCTGTTAATGGCAGATAGTTATGCGGACCTTTTACAAAAATGTTAGCCTTCAACGTTTTACCCCTATTAATCACTATAGAAGTGTTGAAAACTTTCATTGGGTAGTATACATGGTATATATGTATCGGAAAAAAGTAAAAACAGCAAAAATACCGAAAATTCAAAACGGAAAGTCCTTTTTTAAATTGCAAAATCAAAAGCTCAAACACATTAAACGAATGGAAAACATCTGTCATATTCTTGATTTGGTATGTATACTTTATCATGTTTTGACCTCCTGTACACGTTTGTGTCTAAGGAAATAAAATATTTTATCTTGTCTTGTCTTGGTTCAGGCGCAGGGATTTTCGCAAAAATCAATAAGCTAGGTTGTTTTAAACAATAGACACACGTCTTGCAAAATATGTGTGTAGAGGAACTCCCCTTGCGTGATTTGTTGTATTTGGTATTCACATTGACGTATTTCGATTATGCTCTTTTACATGTTTATAGAGTACATTGCATACGAAGCCCACACCTTCTTTACTTTGGGTTTACTCACTAAGCCAAATAAACTATTAAAATAAAAACATGAATTTGAGACATATTTTCTAGAATGCATGGACACTTTTGTTTTATTTAAAAAAATATATATATGTATTTTCCCCAATAAGATTTATAAATTTCAGTTTGAAAACGTTGTAGTTTAATCTTTAAAAAAGATTTGTATAAAAGCGTCTGATTCTTATTTATATTTATCGATATATGATCGAGCTTGAGTTCATGTCGCTCGATCATCCAATAATCCTTCTTTCAACCAATTACGAAAAAATAAAAAGGCAATCTCATCATAGAGAAAGTATTAAACGAGAAAACATTTAAATGTCCACCTAATTTTGCTAAACTCTCGACGGCGAGAGCTCATATTTAATTGGATCAAAAAGGGGTACCCTCAAAAGATGTCTATAACGTATGAATTTCAATTCTCACTGTTAAGTTCCAAATTGTAGTGAATAATCGAATAACTTAATCATATACCGCTTTATATTTCTTAATCTTACCGAATTGTTAACGTAGATGTCCAACATATGAAGGGCGTCAGCACATGTATGTTATTTTGTTCATATCATTTTTGTTTTGATGTGTAAAGTTTTTTTCGTAGACTTGAATGTTATTTATCAAATCATATTGTATTGTAATTTCCATATATATGATTACAGTGTTATGATAAATTATCTTTTCAATTTTCTTTTTATAAGATAGGGGATCAACGTATATTCGCTGGGGACGTAAACAATGTAGCGGAGTGCACACAGAGATATTGTACACAGGTATATTTTAAATTCTTTTTTGGAACATTCATTTTAGATATATATTAGATCTTGTCTTTTAAAGGTTATATGGATTTTTGGTCGCAAAAAATTATAATGTTTTCCTCATTTTGTTTGATTGTTTATATGTGGCGAGATCTCACACGTGCGACCTATAAACATCCGAAACAAAAATGAGGAGCAAGTTTAGAAAACTGATTTAATTAGAGTGTAAGTATATTTAAATGGATGCATTACTGGTTATTCCAGTGGTTTATTTTCATATTGAGAATTTCATTTACTTTAATCTGAAAACGTATTGGACTATAAAATATTTTTTTTTTTTTTTTTTAATGTTTTGAGCCAATCCAAATGGAAAATGTTTTTTTCTAAGTAAGCTCATCAAGTCGGTGGTATGGGTGTCTTAAAATAAAAAATGAGAGATTTTTCTCAAACTTTGCACAGTTGATCCCTACTAAATGTACATCGAAAATATCTAAAAAAAATTAAGGCGGAGGGAGTCGCTGGCAATATAAGAAAATTATATGAATCTCAAAAAATCATACATTTTAGACTATAGAGATATATAGGAAAAATAGTCACCTTTTTAGCTTAAAGTCGTATTTTCATAAATGATAGAAATTGCTTATATTTAAGAGATGAAGTACTTATATTATAAGCTTAAAAAACGGGAAAATATATATAGGTCACCGTGCATGTGAGAAAGAAAAACCTCATTTTGTGTTGTTACCATGGAAACTTTTAAGCAATATTTCTTGAAAATATTCAATTCAGAGATAGCTATTGACTCAAATGGTGGCAAACACAAATGACAGATTTTCCTCATACTTTGTGGACTTAAACCTTATTACATGGGTATTTAAAAATACAATAATTTTTAGGGGTTACCGGCCATCCAAGAGTTTTTTCACCGACTGAAAAACAGGTGCAAATAGGCTAATTTCTCAATGAAATATAGGGAAATGGACAAAAAACTTCTTCGGTTGAATATTCACAGCAAAAAAAAAAATACAGAAGTTCCCCATTTTTGTCGAGCCTTCGACTTTTGTCGAAAAAGCGAGACATAGCGATCCTACATTCCGTCGGCGTCGGTGTCGTCGTCGTCGTCGTCGGCGGCGGCGTCCACAAATATTCACTCTGTGGTTAAAGTTTTTGAAATTTTAATAACTTTTTTAAACTATCCTGGATTTCTACCAAACTTGGACAGAAGCTTGTTTATGATCATATGATAATATTCAAAAGTAAATTTTGTAAAAAAAAAATTCCATTTTTTCCGTATTTTACTTATAAATGGACTTAGTTTTTCTGCCAGGAAACATTACATTCACTCTGTGGTTAAAGTTTTTGAAATTTTAATAACTTTCTTAAACTATCCTGGATTTGTACCAAACTTGGACAGAAGCTTGTTTATGATCATAAGATAGTATCCAGAAGTAAATTTTGTAAAAAAAAATTCCTTTTTTTCCGTATTTTACTTATAAATGGACTTAGTTTTTCTGCCAGGAAACATTACATTCACTCTGTGGTTGAAGTTTTTGAAATTTTAATAACTTTCTTAAACTATCCTGGATTTCTACTAAACTTGGAAAGAAGCTTGCTTATGATCATAAGATAGTACCCAGAAGTAAATTTTGTAAAAAAAAATTCTATTTTTTCCGTATTTTACTTATAAATGGACCTAGTTTTTCTGCCAGTTAATATTACATTCACTCTGTGGTTAAAGTTTTTAAAATTTTAACAGTTTTCTTAAACTATCCTGGATTTGTACCAAACTTGGACAGAAGTTTGTTTATGATTAAAAGCTAGTATCTAAAAGGAAAAAAAATTTGTTCCAATTTTTCTGTATTTTACTTATAAATGGACTTAGTTTTTCTTCCAGTTAACATAACATACAGTCTGCAGTTTAAGTTTTTAAAACATTTATTAGATTCATAAACTATCATGGATTTTTACCAAACTTGGACAGAAGCTACTTACAATCAAAAGATAGTATAGAGAGATTTATTTTTTTCCTCATTTTTGTTGAGCCTGCGATTAACAGCAAAAGTAGGCGAGACACTGGGTTCCGCGGAACCCTTACGAATTTTTTTAGATTGAAAAGCTAAATGTCTGTATTTTGTAAAACTGGAGGAATAAATTTTGGGGGTCAAAGGTAATATAAGAGAATTATTCTACGTATGACCAGTTTACCAGGGAAACAGACTGTTAATGTTATTATAATTCAGAAGAGAGAAAAAAAAACAATTTTCACTAATATAGAAGTTTGATATCAACACATCTTCAGGAGTTTCCATGAAAATGTAATAAATTTGGAAGGGTAATTAAGGTCAAGGAACTGTTACAGTAAATGGGCTATGTCACAGATTTTGATAAAATTTTACTTTTAACTTGGGCTCGGTGAATTATATCTGAAAATCGATAAAATGAAGCCTTTCTCTCTTTTAATTTCTGAAATATTACTGCTTTAATTCTTTCAAAATAGGTGAACATTTGGATAGGAAGCACATGCAGTCGACGAAAAACGTTCATAAGTTTACCTTAAAAACTTCAATTTTTCAATTTTTACTTCATGGATTTTCTTAAAAAACTATATGTTGTTGATATTTAAATTTCCATTTTAATGATTAAAATAATCCTATGGTCACGACTTTGTTTTTTGTGTATTAAACAACCTGTTACCTTGTAGGTAGTGAAAAACGTCAAAAATCGATACGCGATGACGTTACGATTATTTCGACGTTTTTTTGTATTATTTTTACCTAGTATACCACTTTGTTTGATGTATACCGTAAATGCATTTTTTTTAGATTTTCAGATATATTTCAACGAGCCAAAGGTTTTTGCAAAATTTTAAGAAAATCTGTGACATACCCATTTACTGTAAACTGACCTTAAGTACTATCTTCAGATGAGAAAGTTAATTTGAGGGATTTTCCATTGTAAAACACGGACATCCATTTCTCCATCTTAAATAGCACCAACATATCTCTTACAATTTTCTTTAGAATTAATCAAAACTGTGCATGATTATTAAGTAGCATGTGTAGATGTGCAAACAGCCTAATAGATATAAGAAGATGTGGTATGAGTGCCAATGAGACAACTCTCCATCCAAGTTAAAATTTATAAAAGTAAACCATTATAGGTCAAAGTACGGCCTTTAACAGAGCCTTGGCTCACACAGAATAGCAAGCTATAAAGGGCCCAAAAAATTACTAGTGTAAAACCATTCAAACGGGAAAACCAACGGTCTAATCTATATAAAAAACGAGAAACGAGAAACACTTATGAACAACATCAACAAACGACAACTACTGAACATCAGATTCCTGACTTAGGACAGGTACAAACAATTGCAGCGGGTTTAAAAGTTTTAATGGTACCAAACCTTTACTCTTATCTGAAACAATAGTGTAACATCACATCCTAGAAAGACACACCTTAAAATATCAACTGAAATGGCTAAACTCAATCAAAGGACATATTAACACCAGATAATATACACTGAACAAATAAATAAATTTGATCTATGATACAATGTAAATACAAAATAAATAAGCTAAGGGAAGAATAATAAAAGTAACATGCTATACCGCTGTGAAATGTTAAACAATTTCAGAAAAACAATATGCTCGAATAAAAATATCAGCCATTTACAATTTAAGAAAAACAATATGCTCGAACAAAAATATCAGCCATTTGCAATTACTTTAAACACAGGTAAATGAAAATAATTTTGTAGTTAGGTATACGTGTACAGTTCAAATAGAGAAAGGAAATATTTTTACCAAATAAATAATTTTGATGTTCATAGTACGAAGTGAAAATTTATAGTAATACCAAACACTTATCAAAGCTGGTATATAGACCAGATATAAACCTGAATAACATTAAATAACAAAAAAGCATTACAATTAGTATCAACAGGTCAAATAAACAAGAAATTACGATTTGAGAGTACTCGCAGTTACTGACAGCTAGTTAAAAGCCAAAAACAATTAATAATAAAAAATTATGCATCAGAGACTAAAATCAACTAAAACACATCCCAGGGATTTAGAATTTTAACGTCATGGACAGTCAAAGAAGACATGACTTGTGCAATGCCAAAAATAAATGTATCGACAGGCAGTAGGATAGTTAGGAGTTAACCTCTTTATAGATCAAAATGAACGAGGGTGTGTCTTTATACATCCTGTTTGAAAAGAATACAACTTTAGTTATGTTTTAATTTGCTGATGACAAAATCGATATTAGTGCCAATGTAAACTATATTGAAAGATCTAATTACAACATTGGTAAGATAACCTTTACTAATAAGTTTGTTTAAAGGTTCGACGAGTTTACACGGATCACATAGTGATTTCCGAGCTTTAAGTACAATATTATCGTAAAATTTAGGATGTGAAATACCGTTTTTAATCAGTTTTCTACAGGTACAGCCAAATTTACTAATCAAATCTTTGTATCTATGAAAGAATTTAGTAAAAGTTTTACGTAATTTATGGTAACGAAATCCCTGACTTAATAATTTACCAGTGATGCATTGATTACGTTCGTTAAAATCTATGACATCACTACACACACGGGCATAACGAACAAGTTGGGATATATAAACACCGTATGATGGAGCCAAAGGCACATCGCCGTCTAAAATAGGAAAATTAACAATAGAGAATGAAAAGTCGTCTCTTTTGTCGTAAATTTTCGTATGGAGTTTTCCCTTAGAGATTGAAATGTCCAAATCTAGAAAAGGACAACTACTGTTGGTTATGTTAGATTTAGTTAAAGTAAGTTCTATGGGGTAAATGTCGGTAGTATATATAGAGAACTCTGGATTATTCAACGAAAAAATATCATCTAGATAACGGAAGGTATTGTTGAATGTATCAACCAAATGTAACAATGACGTGTCTTTACTGAGTTTGGTCATAAACTGAGATTCATAGCAATACAGGAATACATCTGCTATTAAAGGGGCGCAGTTAGTGCCCATAGGA